GACACGTCCGCAGTCTTTGTGTGCTACGAATCGCCTATACATGTAGAATAATGATGGTCTAGAATAACAAAACAAATTTTGTAACTTCATTTATGCACTGACAGCTTTACGCACGGCCACATAATGGAATCAGTGGAGTTACTAGAGGTAAGCCATGTCGCACTTTTAAATAATTTTGATTTTGTTCAAATATATTGAAAACAAATATGATACAAAAATCATTAGGCCTGATCGGCCTGATCAAAAATTATTAGGCCTAATCAATAGCCCGAAGCCTGATCAAAATTACTTAGCCGCATTTTTCAGAGACAAAAATAATCGCGATCCCCTCAGAGACGTTGTCATTTGCTGGATGAAAGCAAGTACAGCTGCATCCTTCTCACAAACTCGACCAGCATATACAACTACAATATATAGTTCGGCTTCCACATTGTCACCAAACATGCACTGAAATGGAAACTAGTAATCAGAGAACGACATGAGACTCAACGGAAGACTCATCTGTAAAACAAGATAATATGCAAATTCCGACGACTCACATGATCTTTGACGGGATCGTAAAAGTACTTGTTGCGCACCGGATGTCGAAGATTTGACTCAATAAACTCGTAAATATTCTCCTGACATCTCTCAAAAATATCGTTATGTGACTGTGCCTGGAAGGAAACCTCCGTCAACTGCAGGTAAACAAAATTAATATGTATACCGATTTATGCCCCTCTGTAGGCGAAGGCAACCGGAAAACAGCTGGGCACAGAGCAGCAACTCCTTTTCGTGGTTCTGTAGGTGGACCAGGAGTGAAGCGATCTTTCAAGCGATGATAGCCGAATCCTACACACAAATTTTGATGCAGGATCAAAATTAATCCAAACCAACCGTAAAAACTGTCTGAGCATTTCTCTCGATCCATGACTATAGCCAAACAAATAGCATCCGTTTTCTTAACAAACTGAGTGGCATTTGAGATGAAATTGAACCCGTTATCGATAGTATGCACGGTCTGAAACACATACAACTTGCGGAGAACAACTATACTCAGCGACTCACTTTTAAGTCATCAACGCTACAGAAGTTAGCTAGGACGTTAGTGAAGTACAGCGAGAACTTGGCCATGAGCAAATTGTAAAACTGTATTAACCAGTTGATGAGGCGATTACGAGGCAATTTTTCGTTAGATCTAGCAAATGGTAGGTTGTTTAAATGAAAAGTAAACATGATAAGCAGATGGACTGCAGAAACCAAACCTGAAGAAGTAGAATACGGATTTATTCACCGGATTCAAACAGTGAGCGTCACGAATCCAGAAATCGAATCTTTCACGAATCTCTTTCAACTGCAGAAGACTTTCAAACATCTGAAATAAGAATTTAGCGACAACATGAAGTGCTAGCCTACTTGCCTTGCAATTTGCTATGTGCATCTGAGCAGAAACGAGTAAGAGCAGCACGTCTATTTCACCTGACAGCAGATGAATCATCGAGAATAAAGACCGGTGCCCGCAATCTTTCAACATTTCTGATACCCTCAGTCCTCGAGCATGTAAGGAATCCCAAAGAATTACGCGATCATTCGCTACAAGAAGGTGGTAGACAGCTAGATACGAAGAAGACGAGAATATCTAAATGCATAAACGTACCAAGGCTAGCAATAGTGGTGAAGATGCTTATCATTTCAACTCTAGCCAGCACATATTGTCTACATTCGGTCAGGATCTGCTCAATTTCCGAGGTAGAAGACGATTCATTCTCAGAACGCGGTGTTGATGATGAAGCGCGCACTAGCTTCTCGCTGAAAGAAGAAACTGACATCAAAGCCCGTGTTCAAGCTGACATACCTAATTTGATAATACTGATTCTTCAAAGCGTTTTCCTTACGAAAGAACGCTTTGGGCTGAAGAAAGGACAGAAAATAATAGCTCTTATCGCAGTTTGCCAACTGGAAAAGCATAAAATGAGGATAAGAGGGCAAGGTTAAAGGGTCTCACCATTACTAGAGACGACAATAATGCAGCCAAAGACACATCCTTCTCGTTGATTATAATCATGGACTTCGATGAAGATTGGGTATACTGTTCGATAATCTCTCGGGCTTGATCGAACTGAAGTATTGTCCTACATACACGACACGATATCTGCATGAATTTTGATAAAAGGACTCGTCTTGATAGTTAGGTGAATGCTAAAATCTTGGATTTTTTTTCGAATTATGGATCCAAAAAACTGTAGGGCATTCGACAAATCGTGACGATGCTCGATCGCCGCGACACGGACGTACTTTCGGCACCGGCATTTTCTTAATTTTCATCCTGCTTAATTGGGCACTGGAAGTGACTGAGCTGATCCTTCAGATGATGTCTTTTTCTACGAGTGCTTCATGCTCCTGTGGGTCTGAGTGAAAAGCTGTATTAGCCACTGACTCCAGTCTTTCCGCCACCTCTTCCAGAATCGCTGGGGATGTTCCCTGTTGCTTTGCCGTTCTTCGTCTTCGTGGCTACGCGAACTTCCTATTCTGTGACGTTTTCCATCGGTCCTTGTACCCTTCAGCTACTATGGGTATTGATATTCCCTCGAAATGTGATCTCCATCGTTCGCTTATCTTCTGTGGACTTCTAGATTCTTCAGCATTCGTCCTTAACATTGGTGATTCGTGTCCTCTGTGTTTTTTTCCGGTTCGCCTTTTAGAAGTGGTAAAGCTGACTCCATAGCAACTTTGGATCGAGCGTCATCTTTGGATTTCAACCACTTGATGCGTATCCTGTTCTCCGCCATTGCCTCTCTTCGCTTAATTGGGACATTCAGATCCAGAATCACTGCCGATGTTGTGGTACGCGTTCTTCATTGGGACTCACTTTGCTGTCCTTCACATACTTCAGCTTCCCTAGCGCACTGCCTAGAAGTCCATTCGTAACTTTCGATTTCCGCTAGCATACGTTAGGAGATGATTGTTCTTCTTGATGAAGTACTTATTTGCCAACGTCAAGTCATGAGCAGAAGTGAACTCCAGAATGCGCCTCCCTTCGTTACGATCCCATACCCGCTATTTCCGTGACTTCTACTTGCACCACTTATTCACTGACATGGCCTTTGGGATCTGCTCCATTTTGCAGCGTTTCCTCTGAAGTACAGCTCTGCAGCAGTCATATAGTTCTTGCTAGAATCCGTCTTTCTTTTCTTCGGTGCAACCTGCTTGGGGGCATAGGCGGTAACTATTCAAAGGACTCGTTCACCCACATCTACCCTGATGCTCATAAATCGGTCACTTGGTTGATCCACGCTCGCTATACTATCAGTCAATCTCCCAGACAACTGTTCCGAAACCGTTTCTTTTGGTGTTTACTCTTCTGTACAGAAGCCATCTCTTATATCCCGTAACTTTTCACCCTTCCATCCCGTCTCTTCGATGCAGGCGATATCCGCTTTACCGTCTTCCAAGAAGATCTGCCAGTTCTCGATGCCTCCTTGTGAGAGAACGTTGATGGTAGCCAGTCAAAGCGTAGCGAACTTGAATCGTTTGTATCCATGATGAGGTAGCTTCTTCAGCCGTCCCCGTTCATCCTGTTGGGACGATAACTAACCTTCGCTTACAGTTCGCGGTCGGGCTCAATGCGCGTGCCTCCGGGGAACACCCTAGCGTTTACTTGAATCCTGATGGAATATAAAAGAACATTTTGATGCGACCTGGTGTCTTCTTCAGCCGGCTTGTCGCTTGCTTCCCTTGGATTAGGAGCCTGACACTGGGTGCTAGGGCAGAGCTTTGCCGAAGAAATCTTGACGCGAACCGAACCTGTGGTCTCCCTCGCCAACCTCAAGGGCGCTAACTTCTCGGCCAACTGTACCCCACGAATAAAGCCTGTAGAGGCTTGTAGAGGCTCAGAACTTTACGAGACGGCCTTGTAAAAAAATAAGTAAATGACTGCAGACGAAAATCCTCTGCATCGAAACACCCGAAAAATGAAGATATGCACACCCACCTGAAATTTTTCGATACATTTCCCGTATTGCTGAATGACTTGTTCAACTTCCGATAGTCTGAAGAGAGGTCCACTGGAACGAGCAACTATAAAAAAGCTATTAGATTCGTCTCAGATGGAGTAAGTTTATGTCCGTAAGTGAACTTACTGTCGCAGGACTCCTCATCAGAAGGAGTTGCATCCGTCGCTGCTAGCCTGATGCTCGATACTTCCAATGCCTCCGCTGCTTCAGTAACTTCTGCGTCTTCAGCATCTTCTTCAGCGTTCATTTAGACAGAAGAAAAAGCCACGATGTAGTGCCGGCGCAAGATATAACACAAACGGTGCAGTACACACTTGCGCGTCATTCGACGGCAAAGTGTAAATGTTCAACACGTGTGAGAGATTTCTTGTTCTCAAACCCGTTTCCTACGATTTTCTGGGTGTTCTATCTAATTTGACGTTCTTACTTGGGTTTGATATGATTGCTGCAACTAGCATTGCTAGAGCTCGTTATGGCTCGTAATTTTCTTTGTAATCGGGTTTTTTGTACTTCAACTACTTTGTTTTTTTTTTCATTTTCAGCTTCCATATAGTCTGTGATTATTGTATGTTCAGATTTTTACAAACAGTTCCTTGATATGACGTGAGCGCTTTACGCAACGGTCATCCCAAACGACAGAAGTACCATCCATACGATATCTTGTGCGCGTCTGTCAATATGGCTGAGCGTCCTATTGAGATCAATGTTGATATCGACGTACCAGCTCCTAATCCACAACAAAATCGTAATGGTGATGCAAGAGCGCAGGGGCAGGTATGATTTTCCAATTTTTTTAATGATACTGCAGAAAATGCTGGTAACATTCGCATTTCAGAATAACACTCAGTTCGGTGTTGTACGTGATCGGCTATTTCATGCTATGTTGGTGAAAGTCGCGCTAAGCTATAGCTCTCATGTGAGCATATTCTGGCGGCGGGTTATCGAATTTGTTTCTTTGTTGATCGTGAGTTTTGTCCGAATTCTTTTGTTTTTTTTTAACATTGCAATACAGACTGCCGAATGAAACCCAGGCCAAACTTCACTCTAAAACACCGAAAAGCGCCCAAATTTCTCTAATGTCTCATCACTTTCTCGTTTGAGGAGAGATGAGAGCAAGTGAAGATAAGTGCGAGAAGTTTGGGCGCTTTCAGGCGCTTTTGAGCGAGGTATGGCGAGGGCCTAAGGCCAGGGCCAGGCATACTTCACGCGATTTTAGTCGCGACGCGA